AGGATTGACTCCTAGAGATAAATCAGAAAGAAAGACGACTTGTAGCCTATTGCCTAACCAAAAGATGAAAGGATCAGGGAAAAAATGCAAAGAACTATGTAATAGAAGCTCCAATGAATTAAAGAAAAGTAAATCTCAAATTCAAGCTGAAATTCTGAAATACTAACAGAAGGAAAAAAGACTTTAAAATTGGTTCTTGACGATAAGTTACTTACAATCCCTAGGCACTGGAAGTTCCAAGGTGAAATGGTTAGGACAGGAGCCACAGGAGAAAACATGTCACCTCCCAAGAGCTTACATAAAATGCCAGTGTGAGGGATGCCCCAGCTGAAGGGCTGAAACTGGGGAATGCCTTAAAAGCAGGACACATACACAAAATGAACAGACAGATTCAAATCATTAGGTAAACAGAAGTTCAACTCTGAAATTATGAATCAAAGTGTTGCAGATATATACAGTTTAGGACTTCTTTGCCCCTCACAACCCTACTTAATGTAACTAATACATCTTAAAGGTGATAAAGAGTAGAGGCTGTCAAAACCAACTTCATAAAACAACACACTGGTATAACAGATACACTCCATCATTCCCTTTGCAATGCCTTCTGACTGATGGTCCTACACCACAAGATTGGTAAATAAATATGCATCTATGTTTTGAGGAAGTTCCTTCGTGGTGATAGAATAGCTTTGTATCTGGATTATGGTGTTGATGTCTTAGTCCATTTGTGCTGCTACAAAATAAGCTTGCCCAACATGTAGTCCAGGATGGCTTTGAACATAACCCAACACAAATTCATAAACTTTCCTAAAACATTATTGGGATTTTTTTTTTAGCTCATCAGCTATTGTTAGTATATTTCATGTGTGGCCCAAGACAATGCTTCTTCCATTGTGGCCCAGGGAAGCCAAAAGATTGGACATCCCTGCTATAAAGGAATACATGAGGCTGAAAATTTATAAAGAAAAGAGGTCTGTTTGGTTCACAGTTCTGCATGCAGGTTGTACAAGAAACATGGCACCAGCATCTGCTTCTGGTGAGGGCTTCAGGCTGCTACCACTCATGGTGGAAGGCAAAGCAGAGGAGGCATGTGCAGAGGTCACATGGTGAGAAAGGAAGCAAGAAGGTGGGGGAAGGTGCCAGGCTCTTTTTAACAACCAGCTCTCATAAGAACTAACAGTGAGAACTCACGACCCTCCGCTCCCAGGGGAGAGGAGTGATCTATTCATGAGTGATCCATCCCACGACCCAAACACTGCCCGTTAGGCCTCACTTCTAGCACTGGGAATCAAATTTAAACATCAGATTTGGATGGGACATTCAAATTATAGCAGTTGGTTATATGAATCTATACATGTGATAAAATTTCACATACCACCATCCCCACCAAAACACGCATGTTGAACCTGGTAAAATCTAAGTCTGTACTTGAGTTAATAATATTATACCAATATCAATTTCCCAGTTTTGACAATGTACTATGATTATGTAAGGTATTACCACTGGAGAAAGCTGGGTGAAGGTACATGGTAACTGTATTATTTTTGTAACTTCTTATGAGTCTTAACTATTTGAAAACAAAAAGACAAAACAAAGAAAAATATAAAAAATGCTTAAAGTATTATGTCGTGATTCTTCATCCTTAATGAATCTTCAAATAACAGACCAACTACTATTACATATTGATCAGCTAACAGAGTATTTACTGTGATAACAAAACAGTATTTGTTATGATGAGAACTCATAGACACAAAGGGAAAGACGAACATTGGGGCCTACTTCAGGGTGGGGGGTGGGAGGAAGGAAAGGAGCAGAAAAAATAACCATTGGGTACTAGGCTTAGTACCCAGGTGATGAAATAATCTATATAACAAACCCCCATGGCACGAGTTTACCTATATAACAAACTTGCACATGTGCCCCCAAACCCAAAATAGAAATGAAAAATAATAATAAAAAAGGACAACAATATACATCAAATCAGGGGGAAAAGCAAATAACAATAATAATAAAATAATAAAAAAGCAGAGGAGGCCAGGTGCGGTGGCTCACACCTGTAATTTTAGAACTTTGAGAAGCTGAGGCAAGAAGATCACCTGAGCCCAGGAGAGGCTACAATGAGTTTTGATTGCACCACTGCACTCCGAGCCTGTGCAACAGAGCAAGATCCTATCTCTTTAAATAATAATAAAAAATTTAAAAAGCAAAGGGAAAGGAATATGAGAGGGAAAAGGGAGAGAGGGACTGGATTAAAAACATTAAAAGTCGATTGGGTTAAATTCATAAGCTAAACATAAAGGCTTGTCATGGCAGCTATCTGCATCTGCTCCCTAACTCCAAAACAAGTACCCTCAAGATCTGCAGAAGAGAGAAGAAAGAAAACAAAGAAACTAGTTAACACAAAATATAGAATGGAGAGTATGTCAAGGGCTGCACTGGCTAATGTGATAGCCACTTAAAATTAAATGAATTTAAAATTCAGTTCCTGGACCAGGTGTGGTGGCTCATGCCTGTAATCCCAGCACTTTAGGAGGCTGAAGAGGGTGGATCCCTTGAGGTCAGGAGTTCGAGACCAGCCTGGCCAACATGGTGAAATCTCGTCTCTACTAAAAACGCAAAAAGAAATTAGCTGGGTGTGGTGGTGGGCGCCTGTAGTCCCAGCTACTTGGGAGGCTGAGGCAAGAGAATCGCTTGAACCTAGGAGGTAGAGGTAGCAGTGAGTTGAGATAGCGCTACTGCACTCTGGCATGGGCGACACAGTGAGACTCCATTTCAAAAAAATAAAAATAAAAATAAAATAAAATAAAATATAAAATTAAATTAAATTAAATTAAATTCAGTTCCTCATTTGCTCTGGCTACAATCCAAGTACTCTATAGCCACATGTAGCTAGTGGCTACCATATAAGACAGTACAGATACAGAACATTGCTATCATCATAGAAAGCTCCATTTGTCAGTGCTGCTTGAGGAAGAAAAAGGGATATGATCAGGAAAGGACCCACAGCGTGCTTCTAAGATGGTAATACGCCATTTCTTAACCTAGATGGAGGCCAGTAATGTTTCGTTATTCTTAATTTTTAATGTTTTTTACACTCTTCTGGAATATATAGCAAGACAAAATAAACAAAATCAAAATACAGATTTCTGCAGATAACATGATGGTATACTTAGACAATCCAAACAACTGATTCAAGTTTCCTAGCAATAAAGAAATAATTGTACATATGAAACAAATCTACAATGGGAACTTTTGATTTTACATTAGTAGAACAATATGAGAAAATTATTTCAAACACAATCCAAAAAAGTATGACATTAACTTTTTTTAAAATTTATTTTTATTTTATGTTTATTATTAATTTCATCAAACCAAAACTTTAAAGAAGCAGACAGATCCCAAAACGGACAGGAGCTGAGACCAAATAAGGCTTGTGAATCCCATACTGAGACCAAATAAGTCCATTTACAATATTGACAGAGTGACATCAATGCCTTACAGTTTTATTGCTAAATTAAGTTTGGCCTAAAACTGCCTCTGTACATGTTTTATGGCTGGTCTAGAGGTAATGATGGTAACCTAACTTGAGTATAAATAGACTGTAAACTACTCTTGTAACAAACAGCCAAGTCTCAGCCAACCACAGCAGCCAACTGTTCAAAGCAGATTCAAATAAAGCAAATGCCCAGCTGTAAGCAATCCAGCTGTTTCTATACCTCACTTACATTTTCTGTACTCATTTTACTTTTTATGTTCATACATGTTATCTGACCATGTGGCAGCCCCAGAGTCATTCTGAACCTGTTCTTATTCTGGGGGGCTACATGATTCATGAATCATTCTTTGCTCAACTAAACTCTGTTAAATTTAATTTGCCTAATGTTTTCTTTTTAACAAACCTAAAAGCCCTATCAAAAATAGAGGTTGTGGTAAAGGGAACGAGGAGGAAATTCACTGAAGATACAGCTTAGAGAATAGCTGGACAGGAGAGAACTAGGGGGAAAAGATAGCTGAAGGACCTGACATCAGAACAATGATCAAACATTGACTTCAGAAACTATTCCATTTTAGAAGCCACAGTTTGATTAGCTGGTCAAGGTATTTATGCCCTCAAGATATTGTTATAAACAATAAAGTAACTGGCCTGCAATTAGTGAAGTTCAACAGCTGGATGTGGCCAAGGAAAGAGCAGAAGTGAGCCTTACTGGTACCATTATCATCATAGTTTGATTGTGGTCATACCCAAAGATGCACCTCCCTGAAGAGCAACACAGTCTTAATACTGTGTGTATGGTTTGCAGGGAGGAAGGGAGAACGGAATAGATTTCACTAAAATGATCCTGTCAGCCACTAAACAAAAAATAACAACAAGCCCTAGAAGGGGGAAACTAGTACCCAGAGTTGCTGTAATATATTACCTAAAAGGCCCAGTTTCCAACAAAAAATCATGAGGCATGCAAAGAAACAGGAAAGTATGACTTATACATAGGGGGAAAAAAGCTGGCAACCGAAACTGCCTGTGAGAGTGACCAGATATTGGATTTAACAGAAAAAGATTTTAAAGTAGCCATTATAGTTATGTTTTCAGAAATAAAGGACAGCTTGATTAAACAAGTAAAAGAAAATGCGATGACAGTGTTGCATCAAATAGAGAATATCAATGAAGAGAACTAAGTGGAAATTTGGGAGTTGAAAAGTATAGTAACTGAAATAGAATTCTAGTATGTAGAAAGGGTATCATACTACACAAATGACCCCTCATCTCAAAGGGTCAACATGTGTTCTTACTAGAAGACCACTTGAAATCTCCCTCTACTGTACATTTTTTGAAGCCACAAATTTCAATAGTACAATTTATTGTCATTCTATAATCATTAAATGTATATGCCACTTCTTAGATAACATCCATTAGGATAAATAATTAGCATTGTTTAAAAAGTGTGATACTATAAATACCAGGGTAATTATCAAATATTCGATAATAATATGAAAAATCTTACTGGTCTGACGTCACCACAGGAATTGGTAAACTGTCGAGCCAAGCCAAAATCAAGCATGTAACATTTCCTACATGTACTAGGAAAGCGGCCCATAGCGAAGTTCGACTAGAAAAATAAAGAAGGAAAATATATACATTCTTATAATACTTAGTCCTTACATTTTAAGTCTTCTTCTATTTAAGCTCTATATAACACACATGTTCCAAATATACTATTCTAGTCAATGATGTTTAGTAGGTATTAAAATATGACTTAGTTTTGGGTTCTATTAATGCCTAATATCAGGTAAACTTCGAGCAAAAAAGGATGTAAATGACTAAGGTTACACACAAGACAATATTAACTAGACTTGGAATTCTAAGTTCTTGAAATTCTAGTCTAAGTGAATGCTTAAATGACAACCCAACCCCCTACTTTTTAAAATAGGAGAAATCAGAGACGGACAAAAAAAAAAAAAAACCATAGAAATTTAAAAGAATTTCCTGTAAACGGCCAGGTGTGGTGGCTCATGCCTGTAATCCCAGCACTTTGGGAGGCCGAGGCAGGTGGATCACAAGGTCAGGAGTTTGAGACCAGCCTGACCAACGTGGTGAAACCCCGTTTCTACTTAAAAAAAAAAAAAATTAACCGCGTGTGGTAGCATGCACCTGTTATTCCAGCTACGCAGGAAGCTGAGGCAGAAGAATTGCTTGAATCCAGGAGGCAGAGGTTGCAGTGAGCCGAGATTGCACCACAGCACTCTAGCCTGGGCGACAGAGTGAGACTCCGTCACAAAAAAAAAAAAAAAAAAAGAATTTCCTATAAACATCATAAAACTGAATTTCACTAAGTCTAAAATTAAAATACAATTTATAGAAACATTTCAAAACGGACTTAAGGAAAATACACTTTGTATTCTTCCCCTAATGAAAATCAGTGTAATATTAAATGACCACAAACGCAAAGATGAGTATGTAAGTAAGAGGACTTGTGAAGGTAAAGGCCAAATTGTTACCAGAATTGTTAGGTTGTATTTTTGTTTGTTTTTTTAAAAATATTGTTCTACTTATGGACTTTCTGATAAAAACAGAAACTATTCCAATCACCATGGTTCTCAAATAATGATGCATAGAAATAGACTGACTCTACTATGTTAAATTTAGTTAGCATTTTCATGTAAACTAATTTTAGAAGTCATGTAACAACAGACGGTTATACTTTTCAACTGTACCAACATATGATACCTTTATAGTAAATATGGTATATCAGAAATGGATCATTTCACCTAATGAACAATCAAATACCAAAAAGGACAAAAAAACCTATTTCACACTTATGGAAATGACAATTTCTAAGAAAAACAGATTAGTAAATAAAAACCCCACTATATTTCCACAGTAGCACTCAGGAGAAAATAAGGTATTTCACAACTGATGATTTCCTATAATTTTTTACTTAACAAATAGTTTAAGAACACAATATGAACAACCAAAAGCAACATATATAGTTTTTTAACCAATATATCTATAAAAGAAACCAGGGAATAATGCCAATTTAGGCATAAAGCTAAGTAAATGGCAATGTTAGCACACATAATAATAGTCAAACATAAACCTTTTTTAAGAGACAGGGTCTCACTATGCTGCCCAGGCTGGGGTGCAGTGGCTATCCACAGGAGCAATCATAGCTCACTGCAGTCTCCGTCTCCTGCACTCAAGGAATCCTCCTGCTTCAGCCTCCTGAGTAGCTGGGACTATGGGCATGTGTCACCGCCCCAGTCTGTTTTTATTTTCATTGTATGAGAAAAACTCCTGAAAATAAGTTGTAGTTGTAATTATTACTTAAAAAATTAAGAGGTAAGTTATATTTTTGCTTCCAGGTCTCTATCGAAATGAAAATATTACCTTGTATTTTACCACAACAAATACATAAAGCTACATTTGTAATTTATTGTGTCCCAGGATAACATTAAGAGTATCAAACTCATTCTGTGCTCTGGATAGAAAAGGTCCCTACCGGTTTGATGTCTCGATGCAAGAACCCCACAGAATGAATGCTTTCAATAGACTCCAAAATCTGTCTACCCAGCCGGAGAGTAGTACTAATGGTGAATGTGCCTCGGGACTGGCTACGGCGAAGATCTGCCAGATTCCGACCCTGTGGAAATCAAATAAACACTTTCAAATACAGTACTAAAACTATGTTAGAAGAGAAAACTGGGAAACCACTCACTTACCATTGAAAAATATGTTTTCAGTAAAATAGCAATAATTTTTTTTCTTTTCTTTTTTTTTTTTTTTTTGGAGATGGAATTTCACTCTTGTTGCCCAGGCTGGAGTGCAATGGCACGATCTTGGCTCACTGCAACCGCTACCTCCTGGGTTCAAGCGATTCTCCTGCCTCAGCCTCCCGAGTAGCTGGGGTTACAGGTGCGCACCAGCATGCCCAGCAAATTTTTCTGTTTTTAGTAGAGATGGGGTTTCACCATGTTGGTCAGGCTGGTCTCGAACTCCTGACCCCAGGTGATCCACCCACCTCAGCCTCCCAAAGTGCTGGGATTACAGGCAAGAACCACCGTACCCGGCCAAGAGCAAGAATTTTACCCAAATTGTGATCCTCTCACTCAACAGATCTCTTAATTATATGAATGTTTCAGACAAGTTTTAGAATAATGAGATTTTTAGCATATCATGTTTCTGATTCATCATGCTTCCCTTTATCTCTGATGTCATAACAAAAAAGTCTTGATTATTTAAAATATAAGTAATCAAATATATAATAATTTATATTATTTACATTTGTATTTATTTACTTAAAATATGTGATCAGGCCGAAAATGGTGGCTCATGCCTGTAATCCTAGCAGTTTGCGAGGCTGAGGCAAGCAGATCACGAGGTCGGGAGAGTGAGACTATCCTGGCTAACACGGTGAAACCCTGTCTCTACTAAAAACACAAAAATTTAGCCAGGTGTGGTGGTACGTGCCTGTAGTCCCAGCAACTCAGGAGGCTGAGGCAGAAGAATCGCTTGAACCAAGGAGGCAGAGGTTGCAGTGAACCAAGATCACGCCACTGCACTCCAGCCAGGGCGAAACAGCGAGATTCCATCTCAAAAAAAAAAAAAAAATATATATATATATACACACACACACACACACACGATCAAGTATATATAACGCATATACATACAAAGAGCACTAATTCCTCATTACTGCCTAACATATATTCTCATACAAGTTACTTAACTTTCTTCAATCAGTTTCCTCATAAAAACAAGCTAATAAAACCTACCTCACAGAGCTCTGTGAGGATTAAACAAGATCTATGTAAAGTTTTTCGTGCGTGTGTTTTGTTTTTTAAATAGAAATGGGGTCTTGCTATGTTGACCAGGCTGGTCTCAAACTCCTTGCCTCCCATCTCAGCCTCCTGACATGATGGGATTACAGGTGTGAACCACCGTGCCTGGCCCCATATAAAGTTTTTAGAATACTGTGTGGTACACAATAGGTACTCAACATAGGCTAACTATTGTTATTATGACCAAACATTATATGACAAACATTCAATTTACTTGTAGAAGTATATAAAAGCAATGAATACATCCAGCATCTGCCATTCATGATTGCACTGAAGCCTCACAGTACCCTAAACAGAAGTTGTTTCTGTGCCTGTTTTACAGATAAGGAAACTAAGGTTCTAAGAGGTTAAATAATGTTAACCTGTTAATGTAAAGCTGTTTTCCAAATCTAACTCTGTCTGACTCCAAAGTGCTCTTCTTTTACAGTCCTCTTTCACAGAGCTTTTCTACAGACTTTTTCATGATGCTGCTCCACCAAGGTTCCTTGTTGCTTAGGTAACAAACCAGTAATCTGAAAAGGAGAGCAGGACCACGGCCCTGCAGCACTACCTCCCAAAGAAAAGACTGGCTCTCCTGTCGCAAGGGGATTTAAATATCCCAATCTATTCCCACAATTTTATAATATATCTTTAGGGGTACTATGCCACTAACATTATCACTTCATCTAAAGATAATTGATTCACTTTTGAAAAGTAATAAATTCTTAGATTATCATTCAAAATAAAATATGAAGTACTCCTCAAGTAACAGTTTAAAAGTTACAGTGAAGTCAGGATCCTTTCATACTTCGTATCTTCTTTTTTAAATGCAGCTTTCTCATAATGTAAATTAATTGGGATTTACCTTAGTTATTATTTTTAATGGAAATTTGTTGTTTCCTGCACCTGTAGCAAACGTAAAATAAGTGACAATCTACAGTAGCGAACTGTATAACCATGTGAGAGTACCTAATAACTTTTATTAGAATTCCAAAAGTTTTTTCTTCAAAAATCAAAATTTTGATTGCCGAAAATATACCTAATATTGAAACTTTATTTGTAAACAGCTTTCACCACAAAAACTTTCAAAAGGAAATCAATTAAATTTTATTTATGACATTAGTAACACTTTAAAAAATTTAAATATTTTAAAATACAAGCCTAACGTATCAACTCGCAAAATCTGAGAGGTAAACACAAAACTGATAAAAGTATGGGGTAAAGTGTTATTAACATGGTAAAAACATGCAGGTACCCACTAAATTATACTTTAAAGTAAATACTACTAATGAATTATTATTTGTTACAAAGAAAAATTGAAAACAATCTATACCATAGTCCATGGTTATCCATGGTTTTACTTTATCCATGGTTTTGCTTTACTGTTTTCCCACAGTCAACCATGGTCCAAAAATATTAAATGGAATATGCCAGAAATAAACAGTTAATAAGTTTTACATTACAGGCCATTCTCATATGTGATGAAATCTCATACCATCCTGCTCCATCAGGCCCAGGACGTGAATCATCCCTTTAGTCCAGCGTGTCCACATGTTGTTACCTGACCACTAATCACTTAGTGGCTCAATCAGTTACCCAGATGTGCAGGGTTCAGTATGATCTGTGGTTTTAAGCATCCACTTGGGGCCTTAGAAAGTATCTCCTCAGATAAGGGGGTACTATCATAAGTACATTAATAAATGAATAGTTACATAAATAATGGTACAGTCATCTTACTGACTGATATGCAGTCATTCAAAAAATGAAGAATCAAGAACTTATGAACACAAAGAAGAAAACATCAGACACTGGGGTCTACTGGAGGGGGGAGGGTAGAAGGAGGGAGAGAGGCAGAAAAGATAACTATTGGGTACTGAGCTTAATACCTGGGTAACGTAATATTACATACAAAAAAATCTCATGACACACGTTTATCTATGTAACAAACCTTCACATGTACCCCCAAAACTAAAATAAAAAATTTTTAAATAAAATAAAATGTCACAAGCCACCATATTTTGTTAAAAAAAAAAAAAAAAAAAGGAAGAGGATTATATATAGTAATGTGGAATGAATTAAAGAAGTCCATTTCTCTATAAATTTACAAGATCTTAATAAAAATGCAAGTGAATTTCTACATTGAAGATATGAAACATACCCAAAAGAAGAGAAAATAACATAATGAACCTTCATGTATCTACTGGTCACCCAGAATTAACAATTATCAATTCATGCCCAGTCTTGTTTCATCTATTATTCACCTCCGCATCCATATCCTCTCCCCTCCCACCCACACGTACTGAATTATTTTGATGTAAATTCTAACCATATAATTTCATCTATATACATTAAAAAGTGTAGGCCAAGTGTGGTAGCTCACATCTATAATCCCAACACTTTGGGAAGCCAAGGCAGGAAGATCACTTGAGCCCAGGAGTTCAAGACCAGCCTGGGCAACATACTGAGACCTCATCACTACAAAATATTACAAAATTAGGGCCAGGCACGGTGGCTCACGTCTGTAGTCCCAGCACTTTAAGAAGCCAAGGCAGGCAGATCACAAGATTCAGAGATCGAGACCATCCTGGTCAACATGGTGAAACCCCGTCTCTACTAAAAATACAAAAATTAGCTGGGTGTGGTGGCATGTGCTCGTAGTCCCAGCTACTCGGGAGGCTGAGGCAGGAGAATCGCTTGAACTCGGGAGGAGGAGGTTGCAGTGAGCCGAGATCGTGCCATTGCACTCCAGCCTGGGTGACAGAAAGAGACTCGGTCTCAAAAAAACAAAACAAAGCAAACAAAAAAAAAATTAACTGGGCATGGTGGCACATACTTGTAGTCCCAACTACTCAGAAAGGTGTGGTGAGAGGATCACTCCACCCCAGGAGGTAGAGGCCGAAGCGAGCTGTGATTACTCCACTGTGCTCCAGCCAGGGCAAGACCCCATCTCAAAAAAAAAAAAAAAAAAAAAAAAACCAAAAGGGTGTAGAAAAGGAAAGAGATACAAATATAAGTAGAAGTTATTAGCAATTACATCATTGTAAATTTGAATTAGAAACATCAATATGAACCATGGCATACTTTCTCATTTTTTAAAATGCATTTCTTAAATCCATCCACTTGAAAAGAATGAAAAATAATGACCAATCCACTTTCAACAGACACCCACATCATCTAGATTCTGGTCTCTGAACATCATTTCCCATTAAAAGGAGCCAAGGCTTAATGGAGAAATGGCTGATTCCAGATCTGGAGTATGAAATACACAGAATGAGCCTGGTACATAGTATTGCGCCAAAAAATAAGGATGCTATCAAAGACTGCTGCAGCCTAGTCCTAACAAAATGAATCCAGATCCAACATGAAAGAAGTCCCTGTAGCAAAAGATGAGACAATTTGAACATTAAAAAAAACCGTAGGCCAGGTGTAGTGGCTCATGCCTGTAATCCTAGCACTTTGGGGGTTTGGGATTAACCTGGCCAACACGGGGAAACCCCATCTCTAATAAAAATTTAAAAATTAGCTGGGTATGGTGGCGTGTGCCTATAATCCTAGCTACTTGGGAGGCTGAGGCAGGAGAATCTCTGGAACCCAGGAGCTAGGGGTTGCAGGGAGCCAAGATCGTGCCACTGCACTCCAGACTGGGTGACAGAGTGAGACTCCATCTCAAAAAACTAAATAAAACTGCAATAATTGAAAGACATCAAATATGTTAAATCCATGAATTTATGGATTTATTATATAGTTATATATGATATGTTTATTTGGGGAACCAATTCATTATCCTAAAAACTGATAAAATAATCAAGTAGTAGTCCTGCCT